CGCAGAAGACCAAGTCCGTGGATTTGGTTGACAACGAGGCCTGGCTGTGCTCTGCTTAGAGGAGCGGCGGGAGGTGTGAGTTGTACGATATTCGGGGGGAAGGCTTCTGGTTTCTCTATACCTAGATGTGCATGAGCAATCAGCTTAGAATGATTTATGACCAATCCATTTTCTTTTTCTCTGATCTTGATGGAAACTTATTACTTTGGTCAATTTTGGCCTTCCCCCGCACTTGGGTGATTTATCTCAAATATTGCTGTAGCGGTGCGTACTTCTTACCTGAGCAATCCTACGCAATTTAGCCCATTCTCTCTGCTATCGTTACTGCCGGCTCAATCATCTCTGTCGCCTCTGCCGTCATCGTATCTACCGCTGTCATATTGTTCGTTCCAATGATAGGAAGTATTCTCCGGATTGAGCGGTGTTCTAGGCTCATACTACGTCTAGTTCCCATTGTATCTAAGGCTGTCCATGAACAACAGATTCGAACGCAACTTACTACTATTATCCTTCCATTAATATCCGCCCGAATGGCAAAAGCCATGATTCGATGTTGACCTTGAACACACAAATACACAAACACGATCTCGTCTTGATTATCCGAGCCAGATCATTCTGATTGAAGAAAGAGTCATCGTCCCATTCGTGCGTCCTCCTTTATCTTTGTAGCCCCTCCTGGGCTCTACTCATCTCGATGACAGACTAAAGTCTACCTTACCCACCTAGCTACCCAAGGTAGTACCTTTTGGACTCGACTTCGCCCATACCTCTTCGGCATGGTGCACTCTTACCCCGGAGAATCAACAACGCAAACATCATGGTGCAGTATGTTTTCTCTGTTTCCGACTCCTTCACCTACTCATTAAAATTCAAGTGCCAACCCTCTATTGGATGACGCAGGATCGACCTTTGTCGCACGCGAGCACCTTTGAGACACAACCACATCCCCCAACACCGTTATTCGATCGCTCAACAACCCCGGGCCCTAGCAAAGACGTCACTCCCCAGAAAAGTCAACAGCACAACAAAGCCGTTGCTCTCCCTCGCGATACGACCGCGTCAACATCACGGCCGTTTATCGATCGTCGGGCGTTCTGCCTCCGAGCCACCAGGGGCCCCCTTCATGGCATTGAGAGAGGAGTCGGCTCATACGTTGCGGGAGTGGAGCTGACACTCTTCACTATGAATCAGATCACACGTCCCTACGGGATCAATCACCTTCCGTGGCCTTTCTTTACTAAATCAGGCCGGCGAAAAGAGCCCCTCCCCGAAATCTCGACACCCGTCCTAGGGGTTCGTTTAACCCAGAAGCCGAACCTCACAAACAGCTTCGCCTTTCGGTACTCGAAACTCTCTTTGGCGGCTTCGATAAGGGCCCTCAATTCCTTCTTTGCGAGGTTCTGGAAGCTCCTTCCGTAGAATCGTCGCGCTACACCCCTTTGAAACTCGGCGATCGAATCGTGATTAAGGTGGTTGATCACGAATGATGCCCTTAACAAACCACCCCTTATCCGCCAGAAATTGTCGCCGACCAAGATCTCAGCCGTGAGGTATCGGTCTTGTTATACATGCACCGCATCGGAAGAGACGAGACGAGCAAGGAAGAGCCATTATATCGACAACTCATCGGCGGCATGCTGCTCGCCCCTGAATATCACGGCGCCTGGGCAATCGATATGGGTGGCGGAAGCAGATATGTCGGCGCAGTTGCTATGGAATTTGTTGACGGCGTTTATAGAAGACTTCTGCGAACGCGAGGGCCTCTACCCTGATCCCGACCCGCAGCCTCTTTATGACACCGACGACGAGTCTTTAGAGCACGGCATCCTCGATATGAGTGGTGAAACCCGTTTGAAAATTTTGTTTTGCAGGTTGGTTTCCTTACGAATGGTGGCGCGAGGAAGCCAAGTCTGAGGCGTGGCTTCTGGAAGCATTCAGGCGCAAGATTGCGTACGATGGCCGCAAAAGTCAGGACTACTCCCTGTACGCTGATTTGGAAGTGATCACAAGAATGATTGCGGCTTAGTCGTTGACGTTTGCGAGCGAAGACTCAATCCAGGGGGTGATATAGAAGGTCGCACCTCGAGGTTGGGACGGCGAGCTGGCAGAAGAGCTGGCGTACGACGCTATCGACGCTTTGGCCTTAAGACTTTGTTCTACAGGGCCAAGAAATCCATCTCTCCAAACTACACGCGAGGCTTAGGCATCTCGACTTGAAATATGCGAGATACTTCGCATAAATGGGAAGCAAATCCGTATGGCGGGGCATGGCGCTCGCCTTGCGGCGGAGGAGACCAGATCGTCGTCGGATTACATCCTCTACCCCGGGCCCGAATTCAAAACGGACTTCTCGAGGAGACGGGAAACGCTATTTCGACTTCTCCGAATGATCTCGCAGGTCGACGTAACCCTCAGGAGGGAGGTATTGAAACACTGCTTGCTTCTCGTTCGAGGATCCATGGTTAGCATGGATTGCCACGAGAATATATGGCCAGTCCTCGACGCCGAAATAAAGTCCATCAGATGGCAGCTCTTGATGATCGAAATCGTACCCCTGGCTGTAGCTGAGATGCATAAACTAGCTTTCCCAATATTCGAAGTCCAGTCTCGACAATTCCATATATGTCCGCATAGACTGAAAGCTTCGTAACGAAATGGTGACTATGGCCGCCTCGGCTACCGAGCTCCACATCAGAATCGATGCCGAGCGTATTGAGAGTACAGATTGAAAGATGGGAACCGAAAAGGCATCTTTCCAAATCGGGGGATAGACACTGTTCCAGGGGTATGCAGGAGAAAGTCGGCCCCGCACTTGAAAATGACAGCATTGACCTGCTAACTTGATGGTCAACGACATCAATTGTAGCTAGAGGCTCTGCTCCTTGACAAACCATTTACTGTCGAGAGGCGTGTTGGTTACGCTAAATTGCAACGGAAGTGGAAATTCGCGGAACACGATCCAAAGACAGGGCTGAACCTCGTTATCACGTTTGTCAACACATTGAACAGCCGCCTCGAGAAGGCCGCGAAATTCCTCCAGACAGAAGCCCACGGTCGAACTATCCATGTAGAAGAGTTTGGTCCTGGCTTATCTGGTCTTAGGGCAAGTAGAGCGAAGAAACCACTAGGAGATATTGTGGACTAATAAAAGAGTGTGTTCAAACTAAGACGCCGGTTAGGGAAGGTGTAAACGGCGCATGAGAGCTATAATGACGAAAAATGACTACTGAGACTGCATGGTCTGGGTCCGCGAGAGGGCTGAATAAGGAAATGGAAATTAGTTCGACGAGGTTCATGCCTTGTTTGAGAGCGTTTTCATCTACAGAGGTGACGGAATCTGAAACTTCTAATCGGTTGTTTACTTGTAAGAAGAATAGTGATAAATTAGATAGACCAAAGAATAATTCTATCAACCAAAAAGTTGCAACTTGCATCCCGAATCTGTCCGATTGGTGCTTTGTCACGGAAGTTGCAGAGGGAAGATAAGGGATGCAGAGCAGCTCTGGTCGAATCGAAGATCGCCTTGTCTTCCACGGCACACATCTCATGTCGGACTTCGAAGAGAACCATTACCTATATCTTGTTCTTGGCTAGCTCAGCAGGTCAGGTCATATTGCTGCGCAAGTCCACCTTGAAGCCACCCGTCGTTGTGTGACTGACTGTATTACTTGCCTAAAATTAATCTTGGATGTTGGCGCAGGCAGTGTTATTCTGGTTTGATCTAACTATTCGTATGGTGGATATCCTACAAGAGCATTTTTTTCTTATTCTCCTTCTGAATACATGTAAGAAGAGAATGAATTTGACACAATGCGGCTACTTATAAAAGCCCAAAAAAGCCATGCCCCAATTCTCACTTAACAACTGACTTGGACTTGGCTGTGGATGATTCGGTAGGCTTGAGGTAATTAGGCACGTAGGGTGAAGCCTTTGACTTGCTGGCTGGCTTAGCCTTGTCATCCTTAGCCTCATCGTCCTTAGTCTTGTCGTCCTTAGCTTCAGCGTTGTCCCCGGCCTTGTCATCCTTGGCCTTGTCATCCTTGGCCTTGTCATCCTTGGCCTTGTCATCCTTGGCCTCGTCATCCCCGGCCTTGTCATCCTTGACCTCTTCGTCCTTGACCTCGTCGTCATTAGCATCGTGGTCGTTAGTCTCGTCGCCGTGGTCATCGTTGCCGTGGTCATCGTCGCCGTGGTCACCGTCGTCGTGGTCACCGTCGTCGTGGTCATCCTCGCCGTGATTACTATCGTCATGGTCACCATCTTCATGGTCACTGTCGTCGTGATCATTGTCGCCGTCGTCATCGTCGTCATCCTCCTCTCGTTCTCGCATCTCTGGTTCCTGCAGATGCATGTCTTCAAAGGCCTTGCGAAGGGCACCGGACACGACTTTGTCCTTAGGATCCGGGAGCTGCCTGAAGTAAGCTTTGCGAACCAGTTTGTCGAGCTCGCTCTTGATGTCTGCTTCCAACTCAGGCTTATTGAGGCGTTCCTCTGCCGCAGTCATCGACAGCTTAAGGCGCCGCGCACTGATTGACCGCTCTTCCGGAGATAGTCTCTTCTTCACGACATCTTCGGCAGAGACCGTGGCTTCCCATCTAGCGTTGACCAAGTATGGCATCTCTTTTGCATGGTTCGGGAGCTGGACTGGGTTGGTTTTGCGGAGGTGGTCGCCTGCTTTCTGAAGCAAAATGGCTTTGCTATCGGAGAGAACGATTTCGATCTCCTCGTCCGTGATTGGGATGTCTCGCTAGGACGGATCCTCTTCATTCGCGAACGGCAATGCTTCCGCCGCAGTCTTTCTTCTCTGTGTCTCCAAAGTGGCGTACAGGGAGAGATGCCAGGGCGCGACGCCTTCTTCCATCGGTCCAAATTCCTTCATAAGCCACGCGTAAAATTGTGACTCATCGTGCCACCACTCATACGGCCACCAGCCGCAAAAGTCGATAAGTTCGCGAAGATTGAAGTGGTCGGCTGGATGTACGGGGTACGGAAGCTGTTGATTATCGCTCGAGGGCTGGACTTGTCCCACGTGGGTCATACACCACACTTGGCAGAACTTGTAATTCAGCTTGACTACTCTTGGGGCTCGAAGCTTCTTTCCATGAGACAGATAGGTAATCACCAAGCTCATACTCTCCGTGGTTGACCCCGAAGCTGTAGCCCTCCACGAACCCACCGAGGATGTCGGCGAGGACTTTCAGGCGACTATTCTCACCCATGTCGAGGTAGCCATGTGTCTCGTTCTCGTCGTCAGCATCGTACAAGGGCTGCGGTTCGGCCATCGGATAGACACGCATCGAGTCCTCGTCTTCGCGTGTACAGAGGTCTTCCATAGAAACTCCGTCGATGTACTCCATAGCCACAGCACCGGCGTATCGCTTTCCATCCGCGGAACTCAGATCGATTGCCCAGGTACCGTAGTACTCAGGTGTGAGATTTTGCCCGCCAGTAAGTCGGATCTTCCCCCGGAGCTCAGTTCCGTTCTCATCCCTCCCAGCTCTGTGCATATAGCGCAAAGCGGATGCCTCTCGGCTCAGATCTTGGTCGGCTAGCTGGTAATGGGTGTAAGGTCGGGGAAAGGTGACTGTGTGTGGGTAGTAATCGTGGTCGAAGATCTTGATAACAATTCTCATTCCTGCGGCGAGTGGAGCGTGGTATGGCGTAGGCTTGGACGGAGCTTCTAGAACCCTGCACAAAACAACTTGAGGACCCTTCTCAAAACCCCCTGAAAGTGTCTCGAGGACGCAAAGACGCAGTCGTTCGTTGGCGGGGACTGCTCTTTCTGGATCAAAGCCGCTAGGGTGTGTCTGGACCGAATAAGGGATCGGCGTTTTGATGCGTGGTTGACTTTTCCAGGACCATGGGAAGTGACTGGGTCCATATGGAAGCGTGATCTTGATATGGAGGGAGAGCGTCAACTCCTTGCCCGCCGCGTAAGACGGTACCCAAGCTGGATGCCCTGAAGGGAGGACATGATGGTTCGTAGCAAGTCGCGAAGAGGAAGGCGGGGGGCTGACGAGACGAAGAGTAGGAGAAGAAAGTCGCAGGGAAAGATGCCAAGCTTTGCGAGGATGGGATGAGTATCTTTGCGAAGAGACCCGAGCTTGTGCCTAGAAAGGCAAACCGTGGCGTGGAGCGAAATCTGGTATTGAAGGAAGAAATGACAACGATTGAGCTGCTGCGGGTGTAGAAAGCAGGGGCTTGCCCTGGAGAGTCCTTTTCTTTTCTTCGGTGCGTGCTTGTTGACGAGAGATGACGAGTGGAGGAAAGATGGAGAGAGAGGACCGAGAAAAGAGGAGTGCACCTGTCTTCGGACAAAGCCCAAGGTGAAAAGAAAGGAGGGGCGGTTCTCTGGTTTGGGCCTGCACGGGTGGCTCCAGGCATCCACGGAAACAAAAGGAAAGGCAGAGCAAATTAAGACCTCAATGCCCATAGAGGTCACGGTCACGGTATGATTGTCGCACCTAAGTTCAACCTCCTGTTTCTTGCTTTCTATCGTCCTTGTCCTTTTCGTCCACAATAGGTAACCCTTGGCCGTGGCCGTTGGCAATTGTCGCCCATAGACATCCAAGTGACGTGACCTTGCTGGTTTTTTTGATTCTTATGCGTATGAATTTGTTTTACTCTTAACTTTTGACGTTTCTAAGGGAGATCAAATTGAAGACCTAGGCGTGTGTGTTGGGGGGGAGGGGGGGGAGGGTGGCATCATGCATAACCTTTCTTGCCAACGACAAGGTAGACACTGACCAGGATATCTACGCCTAAGTCCTGCCAGTTGAGGTTGTTGGTCTGAATTTCATTGCGTGTGCATGTCACTTTGAGGCATCTAAGAAGGGAGCTCTCATTTCACACACCCGTATGGCTAGTGCCTGCGCCTGCCCTCCAAGTGCGCCTGCTCCCAGTTATTCTGCCTTTCTCTCATTAAAAAAAAAAGGGAAAAAAAAAAGTGAACGTCATTACCATTGTAGCCCTCGTGCTTGTTGTCCTTGTCGTTATCGCTCGCCACCGTCCACTGATGAAGGAATACTTCAAATAACTGAAGGACAGCAATAGGACCAACTAGACAATTGGAACTTTTTTTCCCTCCTCGGTCGGTCTCAACCCTCCAGCCCGCGACAACGCGAATCGTCCACGCGCTCTACCCATCACACCAAGGGACCGCGACTGTGTTGTCATCTCCCCACAAACTTCCTACCCATCCATATACCTTACTACGCGGTACCGCACTCTACACACGAAGAACCTTCTCGTCGGCACTGACGGCTCGATTGCAGACAGTCACGGCCAGCAAGATGGTCAACTTCCCGGCCGGTAAGCGCGCCCGCGCTACACAGACGCTATCTACTGGCCACCAAATCTTCCTCGAGAATGGGCACAAGTTAATGCCGAAGCCCTCCTACCCGAAGAAATTCGTCACGGAGCCCACCGCTTCGAAGGTCAGCGATCTCGTCAAAGACGTTCATCCTCCCGAAACATTTTTCCTGAGAAGCTTCAGTGACGACATTGTCCACTGTCGCGAAACTTTGAAGAGCGAGCTTTTACCCGAGCATCTGGTCGTCACTGGCGGCGGAAATTCGAAGCCAGTTGTCAGCGAGGCAGACACCGTTGGGCTCTAGGAGACCCATGTGTCGCCTCCCGTCAACGCATACCTCCAGACGACCATTTCTACCAGGTACCGCATCCAGTACACAGCAGAGAGGTCCATGACTTTGGATGGCATTCCGGCACCCGCCAAGGACGGTGTCGTCAAATCCAAGCGAGCGCCGCGGGCGCCAGCAGCCGGCGTCCAGAAGCGACGAGGCAAGGCTGGCAAAGGCAAAACGCCCACGATTCGATACGCCATCATGAGACCCGATGGCGTCTGGGTAATTACGGATGTCAAACTGCCTTCTCCCGATTCACAAGCGCGTTTCCCACCGGACGGAGCCACGTGCGAGGTCTTCCCAGACCTCGGATACGGACAACCTAATAAGCCGAGCCAAGCCTTTGCGGGTGTCGAAATGAAGAAGATCGGAGTCTTGTTCGCCCACGTCGAACACTTCAGGCGTGCAGCACAAGCCTCACGCAGACGTTCCACATCAGAGAAGAAGTATTACGACAAGTACTGCCGCCCGCTGATCCAACAGCCGTTGACCTACGCCATGGCCTTCAGAGTACGTCAGGTACTTCTTTTCGATAACATATCCATGGTCCATTTCGATTTCCATGAGCTGGATCTCCGCCCAGATATGCTCTTGAGCGATTTGTGGAGGCAAACAATGCATTCTTTCACCCTGTCTCTGTCCACAGACACTGACGACTTGGTGCCTGCTGCAAGCGGCGTGTTGAAGAGGGCCTTTGACGAGATGGTGCGTGACTCAACAAAGGAGGAAAGCGAGGGAGAGGATGACGGCGAGGAAGAGGACGACAGCGACATCGAAATGCAAGATGTCGCCACGTTGGATAACCATATGCAGTCTCACGCTACAGATATGGTGGGGGGAGTTGGCGTAACTGATCCAGCATCTTTTCAACAACTTCCATCTCGGGGTGTACACGACCTTTATGGCAATAAAGTGGCTGTCACTGATTCCGAAGCTTAAGAGAGAGAGCGAGAAAAGAACAGGGACGATGAGGACAAGGACGACGAGGACAAGGACGACGAAGACAAGGACGACGAGGACAAGGACGACGAGGACAAGAATGATAGGAATAGCAGTAAGAGACAGAAATGTTGGATTTAGTTGCGAGATTCGTACCGTGACCTCTATGGGCAGTGAGATTTGCATTGTGTTTCCTTTTGTTTCCCTGGATGCCTGAAGCCACAGGCACACTTGGAGGGCAGGCGCGGGCACCAGCCATAAGGGATGTCCAGAAGGTGTGTGAAATGAGAGCCCCCCCCCCCTTAGGCCTCAAAGGTGGTGACATGGACACGCAATGAGGATCCAGACCCATGACCTCGAATGGGCCCATTCGCCCTTAACCTTAGCACTCGCTTCATGCTTAAATCGCTTGATTCTGTAGACCCGATGCGAACCAAACCATCACCAAAAACCAACAGAAAAGGGCGCAAGAGAAACCCAACTCGTCGTGGGGGGTATTTATTCATACAACTATCACACACGCACTACTCATCACCTCACAGTGATGTGCTGAATCGCAGCCTTCCACTTCTGCTCGTCCGTCCTGCACGCATCGTTAGCATTTCCCATCGGCAAACTGCAAGGGCGCGATCAAACTTACTTGTCAAACTTCAAAATCCGTCCGAGAACAGGAACCAACTGCTCCCTCAACTTATTATCCTTCTGCTCCAAGAACTGCAGCAAAATCGTCTTCAGATACAAGCTATCCGCCGTGGACGCCGACACAGCCCCAGGCGATCCGGTTCCGTTGAGGCCTCCAGACCGACTCGACTCGACCGAGCTTCGCCCCGACGTGACGCTCGCGCCCAGCTTCGCCTGCACCGTCTTGAGCTCCTTGTTGACCTTGTCAAACCGCTGCTTCGACTCCTCCAGCAGCCGCCTGAGATCCGACTTCTGCTTCTCGGCGTCGCGGACCTGCTGCTCCGACGCGTCGAGCGTGGACTGGATATCCGACACCGCCGCGCGCATCTCGTTGACCTCGGCCTCGGCCTTCTCCTCCACGGCCTCGAGCTCCTCGCGCCGCTTGCGCCACTCGCGCTCCTTGCGCTCGAGCTCCTCCTTCTCGCCGGACAGCGTCTTGATGTCGCGCTCCAGGTCGCGGATCTTCTGCTTGAGCTCCTCCGTCTCACGCGTCTTCCGTCTGGCCAGCGTGCTCGACTCGTCCTCGATGCGGTCGCGCTCCTCGATCGCAGCCTCCATGCGCGCGCGCATCTCGCGCACCTTGCTGTCGGCGCGCTCGTCCACGTCGGCGAGCAAACCCCGCATGCGCTCCGCCTCGCGGGTCCGCTCGGTAAGGTGCTTCTGGATCTCGGCGAGTTCTTCCTCGAGCGATTCGGACTGCGATCGGGCCTCCTTGAGCTGGATAGTGAGCTCCGCCGTCTGGTCGCGCATGCTGCCGAGCAGGCCCTGCGCGTTGGTGTACTGCTGCGTCTTGAGGTCTGCCTCGTCCTGCAGGCTCTTCTTCTCCTTCTGCAACTTCTCCACCTCGTCTTCGAGCTCCTTGACCCGCGGGCGGAGCTTGTTGGCTTCTTCCTGCACCTTTTGCAGCTCCTGCGCCGCCTTCTCCTGCTTGGCGCTGAGCTCGACCTTCTCGGCCTCGGAGCGGCGGAGGTCGCGGCCCGATAACCTCTGGGCGTCCTCGAGGCGGAGGCGGGTGTTGGTCTCGTTGGTGAGCTTCTCGCGGAGGGACTTGATCTCGGTCTCACGGTCTGCGGCAAGGCGCTGCGTGCGGGCGACGTCGGCCTTGAGGTCCTTCTCCTTCTTCTCGAGGTTGCGGAGCTCAGTGTTCTTGGCGGAGAGCTCATCCTTAGCGGTCTTGAGAGCCGCAGAGTCTTGACGCAGGCTCTTCATCTCAGGCTGAGCCTTCTGGAGGACTTCACGCAGCTCGGTGAGGTCCTTGAAGCGGCTTTGAGCCAGCTGCTGGGCGGCGCCCAGGTCGGATTGCAGAGTTGAGGACTTGGTCTTGAGGTCGTCGTACTCGCGCTGGAGGTTGTCGAACTCGCTCTGCAGCTTCTCGGTGGCCTTGGCATCGTTCGCGGACGATCCCAGCTCCTTCTCCAGCTCCTCGATCCTGGTCTGCAGCTCCTTCTTCTCGATCTCGAGGTTCTTGATCTTCTCCTTGGCGACCACGTGTTCCTGGCCAATGTCGGTCAGCTCGTCTCGCAGGGTGTCAATTTCCTCGCGCAGATCCTCCTCCGTCTTGCGCTGCTTCGTCAACCGCTCAATCTGGGAATCCTTTGTGGACACCTCCTCCTTCAAACGGGTAATCTCAGCCTCCAAAGACTCTGTGTCGGACTCCTTTGATTCCTCCGCAGGCGAGGGCTGTTCCGCGGTGCTTGTCGCAGGTGCTGGAATTGCAGCAGCGCCGCCCTTCTTCTTCTTTTTGTTCTTCTTGTTGTTCTTCGAAGCACCACCCGCGCCAGCGGCAGGGGTCTCGATTGGCGCAGGGGTTGTTGGTGTAGCAGGCACAGGCTCACTCTGCTTCTCCAGCTTCTTAGTAAGCTCGTCGATCTTCTTCTCGTTTTCGGCCTTCTCCTTCTTGACGGTTTCAATCTGGGTATTCAGAGTTGCAATCTTCTTCTCCACTTCGGCCTTGGAAGCCAGAACCTCCTTGACTCGCGCCTCGCCCTTATCAGCCCGCGAGTTTGCCTCGGACAACTTCGATTGGGCGGCCTTGGCGTCCTTGGTGGCAGTCTCGAGCTCACCCTTGAGCTTGCTCTCGACATCCTTAAGCTGCTTCTGCGAGGTTTCCAGGCGTTCGGTTAGCGTCTTGATCTCAGTGTTCCGGGCGTCGAGTTGGGTCTGAAGGGAGCTCTTGACGGCAGCCTCATCGCGCAGCTCGCTGGCCTCCTTGGTGATCTTCTCGAGGCTCTCGGTCAGGTCGTCGCTGGACTTCTTGGCAGACGCGAGCTCCGTCTTCAGAGACGTGACTTCGGTCTTGAGCTTCTCGATTTCCTCCTCCTTGGCAGCCACGTCGGCCTCGTACTTGGGAGCTTCCTCGTCGTATGAGAAGAAGTCGCCGGCGTCGTCGGGCTTCTCCTTGTCTGCCTCAGGTTCCTGCGGCTTCTGCTTCGGCGAGAAGATGCCCAACGCCTGCTGCAGGGGCGACTTGGCGGCATTCGGGTCGGGGGATTTCACAGAGCCATCATCCTTAGTGTCCGTTGCAGCGTCGACCTGTTCCTTGGTCTCGGCCTTCTCCGCTGCGGGCTCAGGCTTGGCAGCCTTGAGCTCCTCGACCTCCTTCTTCAGCGTCTCGACCTCCTTCTCGGCTGTCTCGAACTTCTTCTTGAACTCGTCCTTCTCGACTGAAACGCGCTTGTACTCGTCCATAATCATCTGCTCCTTCTGCTTCAAGGAGTCGAGATATTCGACAAGCGCATCGGGTTCCCTAATCGAGCCGACACTGGTGTGCTCCTTAAGCACCCGCTCGAACGGTTCGATGGAAGTTGCGCGGCCGTGGGCGATCCGGTACGACCGGAGGAGTTCTGGGGAGCGTCAGCGCTGACCTTGCAGCATGAAACATTATACCCACCAGGATATGTCTTCTCGAGCTTTTCGAGCTTGCGCAGCTTAGTCCGCACCTCTGGAGACAGCTCCGGCGCAGCAGCGGGCGCCGCAGTGGCCGCGCCAGCGTCGCCCTCCTTCTTCTCGTCTCCATTCTGTCCTGCCTCCTCGACCTTCTCCTTCTTCTCGTCGGTCTTGTCCTCCATTGCCGGAGGTTTGGGTGTTCCTGCCCTGCTGGGCTCTTCGCTGTCGTCCAGCACGAATGCCGCCTCGAAGACGGCCGGGTCGGGGTTAGACGGGCTGTCGCCGTCCTTGGTGTTGTCCTGGCTGACGTTCTTCTTGGGCCGGGGCCGTCGCGCGGGAGACTGGTTGCCTCGCGACGTCGAGTCCGACCTGCGCGGCGTCCCAGAGTCCGGGCCGAGTGCCTTGCGTGCCTGTTCCTGGCGGGCCTGTTCCTCCGCGATTGTCCGATCGATGGCGCCCTTGATCCTCTGCAGTCCCATCATGTTAGCTGCCTGCAGTCGCGAGGGCACATTAAGAGAAGGACAACCGGGTCGTGATTTGGACAAGTAGATCGAAATCAAAAAAAAGTTTCCGCTGGAGACGCACCTGGAACATGTTTGCCGATCAAAGGGATGGATGGGATTACCCTGTGACCATGGATTCGTTTATTGTGACGGGAGGGTCGTTCGAAAGAGAGAGCTATGGTCTGTCGACGATGGAAGGGAGCTGCATTATCGGTAGTGGCGGCAAGTAGAGGGATCTCGAAGCGCAATAGCCAAGGGCCAGCAGGAGGGAATCGTTTGGTGATATTGTTCTGGGTCAAGTTGTCGGCGTGCCGTGGCTTGCGAAGGGTATTCAAGAGACAGCAGAGGTCCCTACATACATTTCATTTCACAGGTGTCCTCAGCCAGCTGCGCTGTTCCAGGTGCTCCCCCAAAGTTTGAGGCAGGGTCAGCACGGACGGTGGGGACCTCTCACAAGAGGCCGCGTTAGCGTTCAGCCTCGGCACTAGCCACATTTCGTGCAGCAATTCTCCAGCTGCCAGCAGATGCGTATGCATAGCGACCAAAATAGAACCACAGCAGCAGCCCAGAGACCAGTTGACGCAATGACTGTTGAAGTATGTGTCTTCGTGATTCTGCAATTATGTATGAAATGTTGCTGTAGCTAGCTGACGGCGCATTCGCCATAAAATATCCCGCATCCACTTACTTTCCACCCTTACCCTTGCGCTTCTTGGACCCCGATGCTCCCTGTCTACCCGTGGTCTTTGCGCCAGCTCCATGAACATCGTCATCAGCGTCTTCCTCCTTAATCTCCACGCTCGACACTTCGTCATCAGATGATTTGAACTCCTCGCCGACCGACACGTCACTTGCCGGGGCCCGCGAGCCGAGAACCTCCCTCATAATCCGCTTGCCCTCGTCCATTTCGCCGTTCTTCGCACCGCAGCCCATGCATCTCCAGGTTCCAAGCTCGGAGAGCGACTTCGTGCCGGGGGGCGCCTGGCCGTTGACCAAACGGCAATGCGCGCAGATGAGTACGATCCTGTTCTTGGACGCCGTCTCGTCCTCTCCGAGGAGAAGATCCATGATGCGATCGTACCAGTGGGACGAATTGACGCCATCAACCTGGATGAACTGTTGCGACTGAGGCGGCGGGGGCGGAACGTGGCCGCCGCTGTAGGCATTGGGGGCGAATTCTTCGCTTGGCTCGAGTCCATTGGGTTGCGGAGACGGGGAGAGGCGTTGCTGCTGGAAACCCTGAGGCATACCCGGAGGAGGCGAGCCAGCGCTGGGACGCTGGATGTTGGCAGTCGGCGGAGGAGGCATGTTGGTACGACCTCCTTCATGCTGCCTAGGAGCTTGCTGACGCTGCTTCTCCTCCTCGCCGTCTCCGCCCTGCTTCTGCTTCTGCTTCTTGTTCTCGCCGCCGCCATATTTCTCGAGGAGTTCGAGGGTGGTGTCGTACTTCGTGGCGTCCTTGAGCTTCTGGATCGTTTTGGCTCGGTCGGCTTGCTGTTCCTTGAGGCGGTTGGATAGGGTGTCGATTCGGTAGTTGAAGAAGGCCGTGACGGTGGTTCGGGTGAGGTAGATTCTGTTCACTCGTAGTCAGCTTTCCGCGATGCGCAAACGGAGTCCGCGGGGGGGGGGGGGGGGGGGGGGGGGGGCACATACACGACCGGACCTCCACAAACGCCAACCCACTCCCACATGCCCATGCCGTTCCATCCCACCACGAGAAAGATGACAATCGAGTAGACGAGGTATGCGAAGGCGAGGTACAGAGACCAGAGGACTCTGATGCGGCGAGAGGTGTTGCGCGCACCGTCAAGTCGGCCCTGGGTGTCGGTGATCTTCGCCGAGAGGGCGGAAAGGGTCTTTTCGAAGGAGGCGGGGGAGGAGTCTTCGCCCTGGAGTCGAGGTCAGTCAGTATCTGTCGCAAAAGCCCTAGGTCGCGATGCAAGGCAGTGCATGGTTCGGGGGAGGCGTGGACTTACCCTCCAAGGCCAAAAGGACACCATGGTGAAGAAGAAGAGATGCGACCACGTGCTGATGTCAAAGAGGCATTTCCCCAGCTGTCAAGCCAGCAACAACCAGAAATTGAAACGAAAAGAAACAAATAAGGAGGGAAATGTCAAGGAGATTGATGCGATGCAATGCGCAGGTGTAGAGATCAGACGAGCAGAGCCGTGGGAGGAGGCCCGTGGCAGCAGCAGCGATGTTGTAAAAGGAGCGGGAGGCTGAAGGGAAGCCGGGGGTTGGTAGGGATGGTGGTGCTGGCGGTGGTGGTGGTGGTGGTGGTGACGGCAGGCGCAGGTCACGGCCTGAACGGGACAGGTGGAGGGAGCTTCGTAGCCTTCGCTTGTGGTTCTGGAACGAAAAATGCCTGGCGAACAAGGCGCACCTGCCAGCTGTTATGACGCACCTACCGACCTAGGCGCAGCAGCTGAACCTGCTCTGTTCGGTGGGAGAATGTGGGGCCCAGCTTCTGAAGGGCGCTAACCAAGAGCTGTGTTAGCGCATCGGTGAGCTGTTGGCTCGATCTGCCAGCTGTGGGGTGCCACTTTGGCGACCTCACCGACTTCACCTTTAGGAACCAGGTGAGTTCACCGAGCAGACACCATTGGAAACATGGGTACGCAGAGCTCAAGAACTGAGCAATATCTTAAGGGGCTCTAATAATGCACTAAAGACTATTACTAAGTCTTATCAGAGCTAGTTTCAGTCTCTGTATCTTCTGTCTCAGTATCTCCCATCTCTGCATCTTCCATCTCTGCATCTTCCATCTCTGCATCTTCCATCTCTGCATCTTCTATCTCTGAATCTTCTATCTGCTGGGGCTCCTGCTCTGGGCCAGTCCCTCCAGCTTTGATCTTGTCAAACTCATGGCCTGGGTGCGTCTTTTCTGCTGTCCAGAAGCACTTGAAGCAGTAGTCAAAATCGCTGCAGATTTTGCAGTGCCGGCGAACTCCCACAACTGGCTGAGGACAAGGGGCAGTTAGCATAGCATGTTAGGGTGGTATTTGGTGGTTACCAGTGAGGGTGAGTTTAAGGCTAAGAACTTACATAGAGCTCACAGCCGTCACAATGGACACCTGTATGGCGGTAGCCTACCTTCCACGGTTTGGGCTTTGGGTTGTCTGACTCCTTCGCCTGCATGGACGTTTCCAAATCTTCAGACTCATTGACTGAGGGCTCTAATTTTTGTATGTGCTCGTCGAGCTCGGTAGGGTCGCCAGGCTTCGAGTTTTCCAGGTTTGAATTCTGGTCGGCTACTTCATTCTCCGACTTGGCTTCGTGAATCCTTTTGATTTGAGCATCAACGAAGGTTTTGGTGGTTTCGTTCCTGTGAAACGCGCAAATATTCTCAGGTGTCCAGCCGTGATTTGTGGCTTTCAAAACCACATCATCGTTCCTTGCCGCCTGGATCAAGGCGGCAATCACTTCCTCATTATCATCCGTGCGACAGGCCCAGTGCAAAGGGGTCCAGCCATCATTGTCCGGGGCGCTGAGTTCAAAACCGTACCCGGATTTTTCTAAGTCAAGACAGATGTCCACAATCTCTAAGTTGTGGCTTAGAACAGCGTGGTGGAGCAAGGAGCGGCCTTGCTTGTCCCTGAGGTCAAGCTTGGGGGCGGCTATTTCGATTAAGGCAGACACCATGTCAGTGGAGCCCATCCGCATCGCGATGTGCAAGGCAGTGCGGCCCTGGCTGTCCAGGTAGTCGACAGATTCCTCTTGGCCAGCTTCGAGGAGCTTGGTAACCAGTTCAATCTGGTCAGAATATATTGCAGCCTGCAGTGGAGTGAAGATGAACGGCGGGTTGTCGGGAATCTCTTGGGCGGCGCCTTTCTCGAGGAGAAACTCGGCAACCTCAGCGTGTCCGGCGTATACTGCGACAGTCAGAGCTGTGTGGTATTTCCCTCCAACTGCATTGACATTGGCACCAAGATTGATGAGCTCCTCGACGAGTTTTCCCTTCCCTTGCGAAGCTGCCATGTAAAGCGCCGTGGGATGAACCCCGCCCCCGGTATTGGGATCGGCACAGCCCTCGGTGGTCCGGTCGAGTAGGAGCCGCGTGATGGCAATGGCGTCCTCTTCGTCACTGGCAACGGCCACGAGCAAGGCCGTGTCTCCATTGTCGTCTCGAGTTTCTGTGGCGGCGCCAAGAGCAATGAGCTTCTTGATAACACCTCTCTGGCCGTTTCGAACGGCGGTTATGAGCGGAGTTTCGCCGTTGCGTTTTCTGGCGCTGTTCAGGTCTTCCAGGGCGGCACCTGTGTTTTTTGCGTAGAAGGAGTCCAGCAACATCTCCGCAAAGGCTGGCTCCCGGTCCCGGATGGCAACGTGCAACGCTGAGCAGTTGTCTTCGTTTTTGTGGCTCACCAGTTTCTCTACAACTTCCTTGCCTGAAAATTGAATAAGGGCCTCACCCACCTCTACCACTCCAGCATACGCTGCATCGTGCAAGGCAGTCTCCCCCTCTGAATGAACAAGCATTGGATTTGCACCATGCTCTAGGAGTACACGGACTGCCTTCCCACTCCCTCGAATAGCCGACAACATCAGGGTCGTATCGCCGTTGTCGTCCACAGCGTCAATCTCAGAGCCATGCTTGAGCAGCCACTCCAAAGCCTTGTGGCGCCCTCTGGCAAAATGAAGGGCGATTCTACCATCATCGGTTCTGGCTTTGAGCGAATCTGGGCCGCGTTCCCACAATAGCTGCAGAAGGTCAACATCGAAGCTGGCGCGAGCCGCAACATGAATGGGAAGCCAATCGTCCACATCAGCCAGCAGAGCATCGACCCCGGCTTGGATCAGCAGCTCTGACACCTGGACCTCGCCGCTCTTGCCAGAGTCGGCTGCAAAATGAAAGGCGTTCCAACCCCATCTCCCCTTAACGTCCACATCAATCCCAGGTGTGGTCAAGAGAAGGCTAGTCAGGTCAATTTTGCCATTCAACGCAGCCCAGTGAAGCGGTGCTCGTTCCGAGTCGTCCTTTGCATTGGGGTCAACACCTTTCTCCAGGAGTCGTCTCACGCTCGCCAAATGGCCTTCCGTAGAGGGTGAATCGGATGCTGCCACAAGATTGACCACCGTACGGCTGCTATCCATCTTGAGAAAGGGATCAGCGCCGCGGCTGAGCAAGAGCTCTACAACGGAATCTTCTCCTGCGAGGGCGGCCAAAGCCAGAGGCGTGTTTGCAGATTCGTCCTTGGCATCCACCAGCACCTCACCTCCCTTATCCAGGAGAAGAACGACAATGTCTTTTAAACCGCGTTCAGCAGCGTGATGTAGAGCAGTGCGGTTATCAGCATCGCTATAGCTGGCCAGCGCGACATCATCAACCATGATAGCTGGGCTAGCGGATAGACATTCTTCGACAATTTCGGCGAATCCGTGCTGACTGGCGAGCAAGAATACCTCCCCGATGTCGGCGAGCGTCGAAAGAGACTCTATGCTTTGGAACATTCGCTTGACCAGGGATCCGACCCTTCCCGAGCGAACTACATAGTATAGCGCGCTATGTTTGTAAATGTCCGGCTCCGGGTTAGCGTTTGCGTCGTAATCCAGGAGAAGTCTCGCGATACTTTCGTTTCCTTGGACACAGGCGACCATAAGGGGGGTCCGGTGGAGGCTATCTTGTTCGTCGATGCTTAGGTCTTTTGAGCTTTCACCATCACACCCCATCTTCAACTTATGGAGAAGACGTTTCATAATGTCCAGATGACCGAAATGAGCCGCGACGTGGAGCAGCGTCGCTTCTTCCAATACGTACTGCTGGTCTTTCGTACGTACTTGAGTCTCAGCATTAAATCTAAGAAGATGCTCAACGACGAGTTGGTAACCCTTAGCTACAGCCAAGATAATGGGAGCATCAGTTTCAGTCGCAGCTGCCGAGTTGACATCAGCTTTTCCTTCGCACAAGAGATACAGCACCACCGATGCGTGTCCGTTTTCAACAGCGTGCTGGAGCGGTGTTTTTTGGTCGATGACAGCGTTTACGTTGGCGCCATATTCAAAAAAGAGTTTCGCCTGACTCTCGTACCCAAACAGCGCTGCCTGGCAGAGCAGGGCATTGAGGGGAAGGGTGTTGAGACGTTCGTGCGACCTGGCATGCTCGAGAACCTTTTTGACAACGTTGTCGTGCCCGTGAGCGGAGGCTTGACGAAGTGCCTCGGAAAGATCGCACAATTCTCTTTCGGTGAAAACACATACGTCAAGGAGATAACCAAGAACATCTTCGTGGCCCAGCCGACCGGCCATGCCGATGGCCTTTTCAAAATCCGTTTTCTGGATCACAGAACTTTCCTTCAGCTTTGTTGCAATGTCGACCAACTTAAGCTGAGAGGCTAACAAGAATGGCGTTGTCCTGGAGAGCGAAGCTATGTCTTCCAGCTTAAATAGTAACACCTTGGTCAGTTCCGGGTGGCTTGGTGCGCAGAGCCGGTAGTGATGGGACCAGAAGCCCATGGCGTAAGGCGCTAAGTCTGAGGGTCCTGGCCGTTGGATGAACGGCAAGTCGTCCAGGGCCTGCTCACCTGGGTTGCGCAACTCTTTCCAGGAAAGATACCCGATCAGAATCGCGGTGATCTGAGCATTTTCTGGTATGGCAACATCGTGCTGCTGGCTTTCGGCGACTAACTTAAGAAGGCGGGTCTTGATAGTGTCTGCGATAAAGACAATGCCACCATCTTCAAACCTTGTCAAGCCGCCAAAAGCACATGCCATTTCGGCTGCAGCATCCAGAGGTATTTCCTCGGGGTCGAACGAGGCAGTGAATTCTGCGGTGCGGCTGGTGATGGCCACGGCTGTAACGAGTTCAGCGAGTGACAATGGTCGTTGTGCATAACAAAGCCAGCCCACTGCAGTTCTTCCCCACGCGCGAAGACTATTGAAGCGCAAAGACGCCTCGTCCGGAAGGGATGGCGGAAGATTTGCTGCCAAGGCCCTGATAGACCCAAGTGAATTTGGGGACTCAATGCTGTTCTTCAGGGTATGAAGCGTCAGCACCAGCTCGGGGATATTCGTACATCTGTCCAGGGCCGCCTGGATCTGGGGTGCAAGAGAAAGAAGACCAGGGTTGCATCTGGTCAGTGAGTTCGTTAAATCTTCACTCAGGGGTAGAACTGGTGGCTCTTTCATCAGGACAGGACCTCGCAGACGATAATCGCCGAAAGAATCCAGTACTTCCTGCAAGCCCTCTCGTTCCTGGTAGAATATGGCAACCTTTATCTTTGTATGTCGGTCGGTTTTGAAGATTGCCAGGAAAGCCTCGAGCAGGACGGTCCAGGACTCGTCACACCTGTGCAGGCCATCGATGACAAGGTATAGGGGGCTTCGACCTTCCTTGGTTTCAAGAATCGATTGAAAGATGGTCATTAAGACAGCCTGTGTCCAGGCAGTTGAGTGAGAAGTCAGCATGGCCTCGTGGATGCCAGAAATCCTCGAATATCTTGCCGGCTCCTGGTCAAATAGTTGCAATAGTACCGAAGCCAAAAGATGGGTGGTGGAGGCTCGACGGGTATCAGAGCCGCTGAATGAGAAAGAGAAGTATGCTGCGCATAGGGAACTCTTCTGGAGCTCACGGAAGAGAGCACATGCAACCAACCCCTTCCCGATGCCGCTACCTCCGCTGGTTGTAATGATGCGTGATGACGGATCCTTTATCCAGTTGCGAAATTCCAGGTAGCGGGAGCTTATATCATGCTCCCGGATGAAGAAGTCGAATTTTATATCCGGGATAACAGATGGAGGCGAGACAGCAGAAATGTCGGAAAGGCATTGTCTGTACGATGAATGGGTCTCTGATAAGTCCTTTTGTCAGTATATATATATATAGATCTAGCATGAGGCCTCGTGGCCCGTTGTAGAACATGTTTATCTTACCTCTTTGGATAAATTCTGAGATGATAGAAAGCGTTGCGTCGGAGCCCGAGAAGCTGCACATGTCCAGATGGTCCAGCTGGCGTGGAATATTCAATTCGTGGGCAAGGCCTGTCGTCGCCGAGTATTGGTTGATCACCTTGATAGGTCAGCAGCCGTGAGGGGCTAAGGAACCAACCCAGGCTCGCTTCAGCCAGCATTGTCTGGAAACCCACCGGACTGGAGCTCTTGCTCTCGTCATATTGCTGATAAACATTGATGAGGTGTCTTGGAGACAAATGCGTGAACTTATCAGAGACGTCCTGAATAAAGATCGAAAAGGTTTTTAGCTGGGTTGCATAAGTCATGGACATAGAAAGAGACGTTGTTCGGGAGGCGAGAAGAATGTTAAACAGCAGATCCTCCCATGAGCTTCCGATCGTGGATGCGCGATGTGGTGTTGCAAAGAATATCTGCGAGTCAAGTTCTCTTAGAAAATCGTGGAAACTGGATTGGAGGATGAGACTAGATCTTACTAGTCGTCTACACTGCTTGGCAATGCTGCTTCTGTAGGGCTCGGTAGCTTCGGCAATGAGCAGTGCCTGTAGAAGGGTAGAGATGGTTAACACCATGATAACACGAGATGCCCCTCATTGTACGTCCAGTACCAACTTAACAGACACCCACCTTCTTTACAAGTACTCCCCCAATGTCATGTGCTATGAAGACAATGGGAATGTCCGATTCCTATGTGATCAACATGGTCAGAAAAGATTCATTCATGTGGGATTGGTGTCTGCTGGGAATGGACCAGTCAATAGGTAGGCAATGTTACCTCGTTCTTTGCTGAGATGATGGCTCGGAGAAGGACTTTGGAAGTCAGGGTGAGCTCCTCGGGATGCAAAATATCAGCAGCATCGTTGGCTTTCGAGCTATACGAGAATGTGTGGATACGAGTGCTGTGTATCAGGTTTGATGGTAGTTCCTGAAGCCACGTGTATCTCTCCCGTTCCCCAGGCTTGCCTGAGGTCCAAGACTGATAGGGATCTCCTCCGAACCCGTGGACCGCAACGATACTATCAGAAGATGTTAGATTTGAGATAGTGGTTCAGTACTGGAAATAATATACTCTAGAGCAGGATTTGGTGGTTCATGTCGTAAGGTCAACCGAGACAGAATTCGGGACTCCTTTTCTGTAAGCTCATCCATCGTGGCAGCCGTTTCCTTGGACAGGTTCTTTGTAGTAATCAGGGGAGCTTGGAAAAGAAGGGGCCCCTGAGGTCACAGCAAGAACGTCGTCCGGTGAGGGGGAAACGAGGGACGAGCGACCTAGCAATGGAGACTGCCACTCTCAAAACCTTCTTGCCTGAGGCCCGCATGCATGCTTACCTTCCTTTTCCGTGGCCAGGGTCTGCAGGCCACCTTTTGTGCGATCACCTTCTACCTTAGTTGCCGATACCAATCATACCCCCACCCCACACCCCCTTGTCAGCTACCTTACATTTGACGACTGACCACCCTCTTCGCAACACCCCTCTCATTCTTTCTCCCTCCCACGCCCTCTGGATAACTAGTAAGGCTCCCTCCTATATCCCATTTCTCGAAGGTAGACCCTCTCTCTCAGCCAGCACTCAAACGTCCAACCCATCCAACTTTGCAAACGATATCCAGTCTCATCCTTATTCTCAGTCCATCGTCAAACTTCTCAACATGGCGCAAGACGTAGCTCAACCCTCTACTGGTGGCCCCCAAGATAGTCGAACGGCTGCACTCGCCAATATGAAAGCCAAGCTGGGCCCTCGCAATCCAAACTCATCAGGAGCCGGTCGCACCCAGTCGGCTGCCGCAGAGGCACTCCGGAGCCTTTTGGATGAACACAGCAAAACTAGTGTTGATAAAAGTTTGTGTGCCAAGCAACTGAGGGCTCTCGGGAAAAAGCCAGATTTGGTCAACACGAGAAACAAAGAGGAGCGGGACGTGGACACGATGCACCAGTCCCTCGCCATCATGTTCAACAACGACGATGAGGTGCATGCATCCCTCGCTGTCAATGTGGGAGATAAAAGTCACACGGAAGAGTGTATTATCAGAGTTGTTGGCGAGTTCATCCTCGAGAAAACCAGCAAACTTCAGCATTTGCTCGCCCGAGGCCTCTACAAAAGCACCATCTTGCATATCATCCTTGACCCTACCACATACAGTCGAGGATCAACCACTGACACCCAGAGAAGACTTGACTTTGGTCGACTCAAATTCCTCGTCAAATTTCTACTATGGCTACAACCAGAGCTGCCAACCGTCATGCGGCAGGACGGTACCACCCCTTTGTTTTCCGTCGTCAAATCAGGACTCGTCAAAACCAACGAAGAAGACGCCGACAGTCTGGATGAGAGTAGTGAGACTGGCAGCAACCCTGAGGAGCAAGAGGATTCCTTCCTGGATGAGAACACCAAGACCGAAATCATCCGGTTCATTTGCAACCAAAACCCAGACGGGGAGGGGGGACCAACAGATCCAATTCGGTCTCTAGCGTTGCTTGCCTCTCACTCAGAAGATCAGGTGTCGAAGGCACAACATGCGGTCCACGCGGCCATCGAGAGCGACTTCAATCTGCCAGACGACATCATTGCAAGGCTGAAGAATATCAGAGTGAACTTCAAGGTGGCCGAGTCTAGCAGGGAGGAGGAAAAGATTTGCCTGGAGGTCCCCGACCGAGTTGGCCGAACGTGTCTTCACCTCGCCCTTACAGCCCCTTTCACAACGAACAGGATTGCCTGGGCTAAACAGCTAGCCAAAGTGCAGCCCAGTCTGCTTAAGCTACAATACAGACAAATCCGAACAGGTGAGTCTGATGCTAAGGGCAGGCCCATCGTCGACTACATGACGCCCCTGCAGTACCTTGTCGAACAGAGAAAACCGACCGGGATGAATGGGCACAAAGGCAAGATCAAGGTTGATCTCCCCAAGGCAGTTAGCCTGCTGGACAAAAGGCTGGATAAAGAACTTGACGATCTGGAGGACTTCCTCAAGTGCCAGTGCCTGGAGTCCTTTAGCTACATCACATGCAAAGCCATAATGTACACGAGGCAAAACGGTAAGCTCAGAGACGTCGGTTGGTCCCATATGGCGTAATTAACACAAGACTACCACTAGAGCGAGAAATCTTTCTCACCCTGTCAGAGGAGATGATTTCCAGTGAATTTCTCGAGAACCAGAGAAGGCACTACAAACTCGATACATTACTCCAGAGTGTGTACATTGCAAACAACAATGAAGTTCGGTGGAATGATGAGAAGGCATGGGACGAAAAGACCCACGAGATGGTGACGGAGTGGGGTTGCCTGGGCGACACCAACCTTTTCATGGTGTTTCACTGGCTAAAGGACCAGATCCGGGTAAAAAAGGTGTTCGAGGTGGCAGTTGACGAGTTACTCACATCAAAGCTGGGGCACAGTGACATGGCGATTGTCAAGTGCCTGCAGAACCTCGATGTCGAAACTTGGGACTGGCGCCGAATGGACATTCCGGCCAATGTCATCATGGATGCAGCTGGAGATCACGTTAAGTCGCTGTATTTGTATTGCAGCGGGTTGAAGGCAGTGCTGCAGAGCTGGTCAGATACCAGAGGACTAGTGAACCTGAAGCGGGTAAGCATAGTCTATTCCAGATAATCAGCCGCAGATACAGCTAACAACCTATACACTGGTAGCTGGAAAGAGTGGAAGTTGTGATTTATCAGGTAAGCTCACCCGCGAATTGCATCTTCGGTCTTGAGAAGCAGTCTGACGCCTGCTCCCCGATGGCAGGGGCTAGAGTCTAAAGACTGCGTAAGGAAGTTTGCCAAAGACTTCAAGGACGACATGGAGAGAATCCACGAAGAACGCTACAAGGTTGACATTGAAAAAGGCTTGAAGTCAAAACTCGAAGTTGTATGCAAACCGATTTATGCGCCGAAGACAAATTCGCCGACAAACGACGCAGCATCCAACAACGTCAAGGAAGAGGGCGAATTGGGATTTGAGGAGTCAGTAAAGCCTGTGACATCTAACGTGAACGACCGCTGACTATGCGTATGTTGATACAGGCAAGATTGGCTCAGGTGCATGGACGAATTTGCTCTACTGATGGATAGAATCGAGAAGGTCAGTGTAGCTCGGTCATTATCGAGGAGAGGGGAACGAGCTAGTAGTAACCAAGCTATTCACGCACATAGAGCCCGAAAGTCAGACCCATCAAGGTGGCTCTCATTGACGATGGCGTGAAGACCAGTTATGACTGTCTGGACGAGATTGTCCACTGCGGCAGGTTTGGATGGGGTAGTGTATCGGGCAGTACATCTACCACATCGAAAAGGGGCGACAAGAGGAAAGCGGCAAATAACTACCCTCTCAATTACAACCACTCCCAAACAGGCCATGGGACGGTCATGGCCTACTTTATCCGCCGAGTGTGCCCTTGGGTCAAGCTTTGCATTGCGAAGCTAGAGTGCCAGGCTAAGTCTGGCCGCAATCAGCCAGTCACCTTTTCCATAGAATCCGCTACGGAGGTCAGTAACCCGGCTTGCGGGAGAGAGGTAGCTGATCACATGGCTAACTCCAAATCTACTCACTACGCAGGCGATCAAATGGGCAGTGAACGAAAAAGTGGATATCATCTCGATGAGTTGGGCTATCGACCAGGGCGACTCTATCCAGAAGACCCAGGAGACCCAGGAGACCCAGTTGCGCGAGGCCATCACGTTGGCTGAGGACCATGGAATTCTTCTCTTCTGCGCCAACCCGGACAAGAACAAGCCGGGCAACTTACCATACAAGAGCAACAAGACCTACCCCAAATCGTTGGTGTCTGAGCAGACGCTGTTCTGCATCGGCGCGGCAACCCCAGACGGCAAGCCCTGGGAACGGATACATCAAAGCGATCAGTCATGCGACTTTATCCTCCCCGGGGTCAAGCTCCGAGTCGACATCCCTGAGTTAATAATCACCAGTAAGCGCCAAGGGGTGGGGAAGCCACCCAAAGAGTGGCACGACCACAGCGGCAGCTCCCTCTCGTGCGCGCTGGCGGCGGGGCTGGCCGCCATGGTCTTGCACTGCACCCTGGTCAACGGCCTCTCGCCTGATGGTCCAGAATGGAAGTGGCTCAGAAGTCGCGACGGGATGCGCAAGGCCCTTCAAAATATCAGCGAGGAACCTGCCGATGAAAGGGGCCTCTGGTTGCATGTGCGTAGCGTGTTTGGAGAGGCCGCGAAGACAATTGACAGCCACCCAAAAATGATGCGGGACGCCTTGCGCAACAATGTGGTGGAAAAGCTCCTCAGAGGGTCCCCGAGACTGAGCGGCGATGGTCCAGGGGATTCTGAGCCTGCTCCGCGTCTGTTGAAGAAACGGGCAACGATCAAAGATGAGAAATGGTAGGAGTCCCGCGGAGGAGGGGGGGGTGGGATGATAAACACACTAGTGACGCAGCAGTCAATATCACACTTCCACAGAGTACAGCTCGCAAGGCTGTCGTATTATGCCGCGCTGACGATGCAGCAAGCGATGGCCTGTAAGAGACCCGAACCCATGCAGCTGGACTGCAGCCAAGCAATGACATCGAGAAGACCAATCATGATGCATCAACTTCCCTTCCTGTGGTGATACGGCATTCGCGTCCGGGGCTGGCGTAGTAACACACCTTGGGGGATTCGCTTCAAATATAATTACCGGACAATTACGCAGCTGTACCGCCCACCCTGCTAACTTGCAAGTCCAACCGAGCAAGCTTGGCAATCATGGATGGCTGGGACGACGACGACTCTCACTTCGAGGGGGTTCAACCTATTATCATTCTTGACGATGACCGTGCTGTCAAGAAGGGAGCGGAGCTGAAATTCGAATTTGTTGGCACAGACTCTAGCGAGTTCAACACCGACAATATTATCGACGAGGACATTGGAGGTGGCGCCCTGAGGATTCAATGGGACATGACCAAGGTCGTCCACGGCAAGTTAAAACCTGACGGTCCGCCCGCCACGCTGATCGTCTTCCAATTCGTGTTCTTACCACACGGAAGCAACAATCGTTTCAAGAATACCACCATCACCGTCACCTTCTCGACAGGCAAGGTCCTCAAAATTTCGCCCGACAATCAGTGGACGACGCTCCCGTCTGAGAGGCAACAGGAGCGTAGCCACACCATCAGTCCGGGCATTGAAGCTGCGCTCGGCCCCGCGAAGGCCACGACTTCCTACACCTGGCAACAAAAAGAAACAGAAACCATCAAAGGGCACGCCAAGGTCACGGGCGAGATCACGGGCCGACCTTACAAGTTGGGAAGCGCGAAGAGGAAGAAAGACATGGTTGTCTGGACCTTGTCCGAGGACAGTCATGCCAAGACCGGTCTTCCCAGCCTGCTGGAAACGGCCTTGCTGTTGCAGCGGAAGCCGACTGAAGAGCAGCCGCTTGACGAGGAGTTCACAGCATCTATCAAAATCCACGGGGATGTGAATCGGTCGGCGGCGTTCGAACATAAGTTGCGGAACATTGGAAAATTGATGTCTGGAGGCACGAGAGAGGGCAAAGACATTGTTTTCCGTCCTCCGGCGGTAAACAGGGGTACGGCGCAGAATCGTGAGAAGTTGGAGGACGAGGATTTGGAGGCGTATCGGCATCTTATTTCTGTCCGAGAGTGGGAAAACCCGGGAGAGGAGGGTGGACCATCGCCGAGCGACAAGTCGGCCAATGCACCTTCCCAGGTACAACCACTGACTCCAGCGTCGGTGCCGACAGCCGTGCCAACATTCACCACAGCCCAGAACAGCATCCAGGTATCCAAGATGGCTGAAACTGACAAAACTGCGGCCAGTCTCGCCAATTTGACGTTGCCAGACACGCCGATAACCCCGACGGCTCAAGGCGTGCCCCTTCAGAACCACGTCAGGGAAATCACCGAGATAGTGAATGTAAAGAGCGAAAAACTTCCCAACTTGCGGGAACAGCTTCGCCTCGTCAGGGCGGAAGCAAATTGGGTTGTCCGCGTCATCGACCTACTAGCGGAAGAAAGAAGACTTTTGGACAGGATTGGGCAGCTGGAATTCCAAGGGGGCGCGACAAGTGAGGCGGAAAGTTGATGGATGGAGGCGTCGGAGAAGACAGTCAACCGACTATTGTTTTTCTTAGCCCTAAATACGCACATTTCATCGGCAAACTTCTTGTCTTCAGGCTCGATCTTGTCATAGACGGCCTTCGGCGCGTCAGCTTTATCTTTCAGCTACTTTAGAACGGAACGAGGTTCGTTGTAGTGGCCCCAGATTTCCCAGATTTATTCGAGAGACTGCCTAATTTTCCTCTGTTTGCGTGGATATATCTCTTGTGCAGTCAGAGAGACGGTAATAGGAGCAGTGCTAATACTAATAACAATGACGGCGACGACGAAAGTAAGGTAGAGTATGCGACCAGAGGAAGATTAGTCGCTCCAGCAGAGGAACATGGGGTCTCTTGTGTAATCAATGATTTGGGGTCGGTCTCTTCCTGTGGGTTGGGGGACTTGGGGGCGGTTTCTGATCTCATTATGAGCGGTTGGTTCGGGTGCTTGATTGAAGAGGATCTGGTGATGGTGAAGCAGAAATTCATGAATTGCTGTGAGAAAATGATAACGAGAAGCGCACTTGGGTGTTTCCTCTCTTATAGTATGGCACTGGTGCAACCCATCGGCTTACTTGGCGGCTATCAATGAAATTGTTCATTAACAAAGGCCTTGGTTCAACCCTTTCAGTGTTTGCTGAAGCCTCATCGCTTTTGATGGCAGGTCTTTGTTGCTAGATTGTCAACATCTCTTTCCAGAGCACCAGGATGAGATGCATGGGAGTCGCCGTATGTCACTCAAGTGGTGATGATCTTTATCCGTGTTGTTTGGACAATGGGTTGTTCCCTAGGACAATATGCCCTTCAAGTGCAGCGGCATTGAAGAGCTTGCAGGTTCCCCAGCAAGACAGCTTCAAACTTCCAGGAACTTTCAGTATATAGGTACCAACTCAAACTCTCCCCAAATGCTCATATGAATTCTTGATAAAATCTTTCACAACAGCAGACAGATAACCTGACGAATCACACTACAATAATGGATTGGAATGCCCACCTCGAGTTCCTCAGAGAACTCATCATCTCCGCAGCCATCCTCACTTTCGGACATTACACCAATATCATCCCCTTAACGTCCTTCCTCGGGGTCTCAAGCCCAAATTACATCCTCCCCCCACTATCCGTTCTGATCGGCCACCTCCTCTGGCACATCTTCGCCCCGGACGCTCGTCCGGAGGATCCAACCAAGTACCTCATCCTTGCGCGGGCATACTTCTTCAACTTCGCGATACTAATGTGGGCCCTCTTTCTTTTCCCATTTCTCTTAGTCGCTTTGGTCTCTGCCATAGGTCTTGTGTTACCATTTGTCGTTTTATGGGCAGTCTATAGATGTTTCAGACCTGAACCTGCGCCAGAGGTTGACGAGTTTGGATGGAGGCACGATGTCAACACGACTAGACTGAGGGAGCCCTACGCTTTGGACGAGTTCCCTGAAGATAACGTGTTTTTGAGGCATGGATTTTCCAATCAGTAATGGACATCATTTCTTGACAGATTTGATCAATTGTACGCCAACTTCCTTAAAAGTCGCGCTTTGATTTCAGGCTGACTGTGTCTGCCGCACCTCAAGACGAGTACCACCATTCCCGGCCCCGGCTTCAAGGGCGGGCTTCTCACCTCAAGTGAATTGAAAGTCGACTTCAGGTGCCTCAAGATCCAGGACGCGTCAGGTTCGCGGTATGTAGCCAACAGGTGCCTACCCACCACCAAATTCACCATCACCAAAGCTGCCTCCTGCCCGACATCCCAGGCACAAACCTCACCTTGGACGACCTTCAATTCACCACGCAACGGCTTCAGACCGCTCTCCTTCTTCTTTCCTCCTATTTAATCCACCTCCCCGATCCCATCTCAGATTTTCTCCTTTTCTCTCTACAACGAAAACAACCTCACAGACTCAAGTCTTCAATCTTGTTCTATTACCACCAATCGACATTCCTTCGGGCTGGACCCGTCTCATTCGCATCCCTCCTCTTCTTACCGGGACCATCCCGAAAACAAACTTCAATCTCAGTGTCTCCTCTTCGCCTGGCCCCAACTCCATTCGTCACAATGGTGTCCTTGCGCGACATCCTCCCGTTCAGCACAAAGGTCTGGGTGATGAAGCGCGTTCGCTCAGACGGCAGCGTCGAGCTGTACTGCGAGCGGCCTACCAAGGCAAACGCCAGCCGGTATGCCCATGACCCCAAGACTTACCTCGTTGTTCATCACCACTGACCAAATCAGGGACGAGTGCATTGAATGCCTTCCAGTCGAGGATTGTCAAGAGATCTACGGCCTGGACCCGACTCCTGTCTTTGCTACCTCCAAGCGCGAGTACTACACCGTGGACGGACAACTCTACTCGCGCCCAGCTCAGGAGCCTGCGCGTTCCTCGCAGTCGTCCAACAGCTCAAGCAGTTCTCGGGATCGCAATTACGAATCGAGACAATCTCACTATTCCCGGTCCACAGCACCCGTCTTGCGACCAGGAAACCCCGTCACCGATAACTCGACGCGCATTTCGAACGCAGGAAACAACCGATACACAGAGCGCCACGCAAGCCGCTTGTCCAACAATGGCTTCATCCTTAACGGCAATGGAAACACTATTAACTTTCACAACAACCGCACCCACCTCAATTACTCGGGTAACGCCACTTCCTCCTACCATGAGAATCGCCGGTACAACACCTCTTCCGCGAGCCAGAATCGTCGCCTCAACCCAGATGTCGAACAGCGCACAAGAGACTATTCTCCTCCCCGCGAGCGCATCCGCGAGCGCTCCGATTTCTCTGCCGCCGAGCAAGCCGCCTGGGAGGAACGCCAGTGGCGAAAGCTTCAAGAGCAAGAGTACGCGCGCGACAGATCACCTTCGCCTTGCTATGACTACAAAGCCGACCGCGACGACCGTGTGAACCGGGAAGAGGGTTCCTGCCACAGACGCCGCGAGGACAGTCGCGGAAGATTGTCAACGGTGTACTACGACTGCGAAGACGACCGTGACGATCGTTCCCGCTCCCGCTCCAGACGTCGCGATGACAGCCGCGGAAGAATTAGTTCCACTTACTACGACTACACCGACAACCGTGACGAGCGCGAATAGCCTCGTCGCTCCAGTCTTCGCGAGCGCAGTCGTCGCGAATACAGCCGCGCGAGATGTCCTTCTCCTAACTCCGACTACGAAGACAACCACGTCGGTCACGACGAGCGCGAAGAACGCCCCCGCTCACGCCGCCGTCAACGCAGCGATTCGATCGAGGTCCTCGACTCCCGGTTCATCTACGCTGGCAGCGGCGAGTTCCAGGGTGGTGATTGGATTTACGCTACCCAGAGGGAGTACAGCGCCGATGGCGGCTTCACCTATGTTGGCGAGGGTCGCTACGACAGCGATGGCAGGGAGCACAGCCTCTGAAGATCGAAGATGCGCGAGAAGATTCAGGTGTGATTCTGGTTTTGACATGGTAATGAGCGCGTGGCATGACAGCAAGGCGTTGGTAGGAAGAAGCATGGTAAACAGACGCATGGAGCGTGAACTGGTATGACATGGCACGGTATTGGTTCGGAGTTTTCGGTTTCTTTTGTACTAGGGTTCTGGAAGGGCCTTGTTCTGGCATGTCGTCGAGTCTGAACGATCTGAGCTGGTCTCGATCAAAGAACGCAGATAAGATGACGAACACGATAGCTAGATATCAAAACGGTAGCATTGAATTCAGCAACGGGCCTCAACTTGGCCTGGTAATTACTTCGTTGTTCTTATCAGTTATGGCATCGTCATGGGACAGCAAAGCGGTATGATTAGATGAAGCAACAAGTTTTCACCGGTGAATGGCGATAAAGGCGAGCTTATGAGTTTGGGGGCAGATAAGCAGCATGCAGGCAAGTAGGCGTAGCTAACCCCAGCTCATCTTAGGTAATGGCACGACGTTGCAATCATACATTATCACATCCGCATTTGTTCATGGCAGCTGCAGGGGAATGAATCCTTGAAAGGTAAACACCTCAGTCTCGAAGTTGACCTATTGCTGGAGTTGCTTCGTCTCGCTCCAGAGCTCGACGCCACCGACAGCTCCTCACTATCCCATTTGCACAGAAGTTTGCACTTCGCTTCGACGGCTATTTCCACTCTCTTCAGATCAACCCTCTGCTGGTACACTGCCCACATTCTTACAGCTCTCCACAAACATGGCTGAGACGGCTCCGTCCTCGCACGAGGTCCCCAAGCTACCGCGTGGCCTCAAGAGCCCCGTTCACCCTGAAAAAGGGTGGAATCGTCTGGGCAAAGGAACTTGGTTCCACGGACGACCAGAAACAGACGTCTACAAACTGCTCATCGACGCTTACAGGCTTCGGATGGACGACAGGTGGGATGTCGCCAAGGCCAAGGAGCCCGGCTCTCTCTACGTCCCCGGGGCCACCGACGGCAAGGAAGGGTTTCGCATCTTCCTGGACCAAGCAGAAAATACCAAGTCCGAGGAAGGCAAACCCATGTTGCCGACGTGGTGGAACGCGGAGAAGCGCAAAGAGTGCGAGGCTCTTGGTGCCGACACGACGCAGTGGACCAGTTTGGCAAAGAAGGTCAAGAAATGGTACATTCACATCCACTACAACGACATGGCTTTGGCTATGCAATTGCGGTGCGTGGGCGAGAAGGTCTATAACCTTTTGGTAGACGGGAGAAGGATTGCCAAGCTTCCGGACTATTTATTTAAGGGGGATTCGGACAATGAGTTTGATGAGTTTGATTCTGACAGTGACGAGTGGTACACTGATTCCGATTGAGACGAAGGGCTCTCCGATAACAGGATGATGGTCGAGAACCACTCTTGTTCTTCTTCCCCGTTTATGATAGATATGATACTTTTGTTTCTCAAAACATGGAGCCAGCGGCAGCGCGTTGCTTTGACAGGCTCGGAACGTCCCCGATGCCAAGCATGACGGAACTTCTACGGCCCACAAAGCCAAGCATCGCCGGAGCCACAACCAGGATATGAATGCATGCTTCTTCATATATTGGTTGGCTCATAAGAAACATGAACAAGGTATGCTGCAGACGTTGGTGTGTACATGTACGTTCAGGTCTCGGATTTCGCCAGCCAAGAAACCCGGTCGTGGTTTAGACGGAAGGCAGATGAGAATGTTCTTCCCGCCTCGATTCACACCATGTAACCCATTTGAAGTGATATGAGATCAGAAGAACCAGATGAAATGTGCCTCCTTCCACTTCTCAATGATTTGCAAAAGTGGTGGCAAGAATCCTCGTATTTAGTACGAACTGATGAGTAGGTACGACGTTTCCGTCATCGGTTGGCTCCAGTATCCCATACCATACCCATACCGGCTGGGTGCAAATCGCTTCCGGACCTGTTTCTCAGCTTCCACTTACAACCATCGCCGATGGAGGTTGCATCTTGGCCCGACAGAGGTCCCACTTGAAGGGCTCAAGATCGGTTGTTTGTCCCGGAACGGCAAGCTTCGACCGCCGAACGTCGGAGTAGTCCAGCGGGTTGCTCCGTGTCGGCCAAATGGATGTTGTAAGTCGTGCTATAAAACCAAAAGAAACGACAATTGAAGTTACGGTTGTTTAGAATCATGCTAGCAGTCTTTCGTTCGGATCTGAATAGTCTGCCTGGGTTCCCGAGGTCTTCGTCAAGCTCTTCTTAAGATGCATATAATGAACATCAAGGCGGCGGCCTGCGTGCTCTTGGGAGCATCAACACTGGCACAGGCTGCGGGTAACCATACAGACTTTGTCCAGATAATCCAGGATCAAGCCCTCGGCGCCCTCAAGAAGGCAGAGTCTGAGGCAGTATTGAATAGGAATAGTACCTGTATGCTGGAGACCGCAGGAGTGCGGAGAAACTGGTAAGTCATGCTACCTGAAGTATTAAATCGTGACGGCTTTCCTGACGTCAAATTCAATGACAGGGATGATTTGGATGCAGACCAAAGGAAAGAATACGTCAGCGCCGTCAAATGCCTGCTCTCTTCTCCATCTCCAACAGACCCAGCTCTGAACACCGGGGCCCGCGTGCGCTACGAGACTTCGCTGCGCAGCATATAAATCAGACCATGAGCGTTCACGTAACTGGAAACTTTCTCATTTGGCATAGACATTATGTCTGGGCTTACGAGCAAGCTCTCCATAACGAGTGCGGTTACTCTGGCTATCTTCCGGCAAGTCATCTTCGGTAGGTATTCTGCCTTGACCCTAGACTAACAGCGCGCAGTACTGGAACTGGTTCTCACACCAAGACGACTTGAGAAACTCTCCGGTGTTTGATGGTGCAGAGACCAGCATGGGCTCCGACGGACTATTCGTGCCGCATAACGGGTCCATCGGTTCCGCCGGTCTGCACATCCCTTCCGGTCTGGGAGTCGGCTGCATCGCCACTGGACCTTTTGCCAAGTACGTTGCTGGTAACTCAACTCATGTATCTTTGGGAAGAAATTAACACCTCTCAGTTTGTCTGCCAACCTTGGCCCCGTCCAGCCTCAACAACATGGCATCGTAGGTGTCGGCACCGCCGACAAGCTCCGCTACAACCCGCACTGCGTGAAGCGAGACCTGGGCAGCTGGCTCGCAACGCGCATCTACACCGAAGACGCCTTCCTCAACGCCACTGTCCGCGACACGGCAAGGGACATCGCCAGTTTCCAATCCGAGATTGACAGCCAGAGCGCGGGGCTCCCGGGCATCCATGCCGGCGGCCACCAGACCATCTCCGGTTCCAACTCGGACCTCTACTCGGGGGTTGTCGATCCTGACTTCTACCTACATCATACCATGGTTGACCGCATGTACTGGCTCTGGCAAGCGCTGCACTACTCTCAGGCCAAGACGATCTCCGGCACTACTACGTTCGGGAACAACCCGCCCAGTCGGAACGCTACGCTGGAGGATATTATTAAGCTGCCCTTTTTGGACGTGGAGCCTGCGACTCTTGGAAGTCTGTTGGATACTTTAGACGGGCCCTACTGTTATATCTACGCATAGAATCCAAGGCTATGTGGTAAATCTTCGTTGCGAGTTTCATCACAGAAAGCAGTGAATCGCGGGATGGACAAAAGGACGAGACAAAGATGCGAACGACAACAGTGATGATCGAGAAGAGGAAAATGAAGGAAACAGTAAACCGGATGACTAAACAGAACAAAATGCTCAATAGTATGCCGAGTCTGCCCGCTTAGTTATACGCATCCCTCCTAACGGTGAAGCTCCTAAAGTGAATTACCCATGCATGCCGATCCGTGTCGTTGGTATCGGTAACATTCGTATAATTAGTTTTGAAGATCGTTCCAGTGTTATGGTTTTGCCCTATCTATGCATTGGCAAGGGCTGACCGAACCTTTGGTAACGTCCCAAGCTGGGTACTTGCAGTTGAGGATGGCACCGGCGGTCGATTTGTGCACCACCGGCGTTAACCCGATTGGCGACATGACCACAGGAAGGTGTGGGGTGGATAAATCTGCAGGCTTATCAGCAACAAGATCTCTTTTCCCCTGAATAAAATCAATCCAAAAGCGCTTGATCCATGGCCGTGGGAATTGCTCGTAACTTTATTCCGCACTTGAGGGCTCTGGCATCATATTATAGCCGGTGGGATAGTGAACTATTGCCGCAAGAAGTGTCGGTTACGAATAGTAATCAGGCCTGACAGCGGGCACACCGGAAATGAGTCGTCTGGGCCACTGTAACATAACAAACTTTGTAGGCCTGCTCAGGTCCTAACGAATTACTACATCCTTGCAAAATAGGCAACTCGCGAAATTGCAGCGGCCTCTGGGTGAATTCCGAGAGCCGTGGCTGTTAACGATGAACCTTGGTCCCTAATCTCAGACCTTGAACTACACTACAAATGTGAGCGAATATCACCACCATGTCCAACGTCGCGGACTTTCCGATCAGTCAAGTTTCCTGATTTCCACACTCCTTTGGCTCAAAGCCATTCAGTCATTCATTTGAAGACAAACTCGCTCAGTCACTCGTTAGACACTCGTTTATTGTTTTTTTTTTCTCGCAGAATATTACCAGTCATGTACACCCTGAACGCTCTCGCAGCTTTGCTGTATGTCTTGCCCGCCGCCCAGGCCCACGTTCCCAAGATTCGGGGCTATGCCTTGACTTGGGCCGACGATTTCAATGGTCGGCGCAACACCCTACCAGACCCGGACAATTGGATTATCGACACCGGAACTTCTTACAACGGAGGACCTGCTCAGTGGGGTACCGGAGAAATTCAGACGTACACCAACGATATCAAGAACGTGCGCATGAATGGCAAAGGCAACCTCCAGATCACCGCTATCCGGAACGCCACTGGAACCTGGACGTCTTCGCGAATTGAGACTCACCGTACCGATTTCATGGCTCAGCCGGGCGGGAAGATGATCATCCAGGGAAGCCTCAAGATCCCAGACCTCAATGGCCACGGAGTCGGTTACTGGCCGGCTTTCTGGACTCTGGGCGCTGAATATCGTGGCAACTATTGGTGCGTGCTCCTTGTGTATACTGGGGATAGTTTGTACTGACTAGGGCACTAGGAACTGGCCCTCAATCGGAGAATTCGATATCATGGAGAATGTGAACCTCATCGATCGCCACTGGGGTGTCTACCACTGCGGCACAAACCCTGGCGGACCATGCGATGAGTCCAATGGCATTGGCAACAGCAGCACTTGTCCGGACAGTGCCTGCCCCGGCAACTTCCACACGTATTCTATTGAGGTCGACAGACAGAACACTCCTGAGACCCTGACATGGTTTGTCGATGGGGTTCAGTTTCACCAAGTGAACGAAACAGCCATCCCGGATGCCGTGTGGGAAAAGACAGTTCACAACCCCCACTTCATTCTCATGAACATGGCTATCGGTGGGGGATTTCCCAACGGTGTTTATGGCTCCGAGACCCCAACCAACGCTACAGTGTCAGGTGGAACGTATGAGGCAGAATATGTAGCTGTGTACAACTCATTCAACCACACTCGCCATGACTCTTAGCTACCCTGAACTTGCCCTGGCGCCGGCTTAGAGCAGGGAGAACAGATGAGGCAAAAGGGGCATTTGAGGACCAACTCCAGAGTTAAGCGCGTTATCAGAGTTTCTGTTTGATTCATAGGCCTTCACATACCTTACGTATATGTATAATCGAAACACCGGTGATGTCGAGCCAACGATGAACACTCTAGCTCGTTCTATGTGTCAAACAACGAGATCTAAAAAGCTGATCGTTCAACCAATGATCCACAATGCCCCATAAACCTGCAGGCTCGATAGCGGTATTTCGCAAAACCAGTGCCAACGCCAAGACCGACCAACACAAAGCTTTAACAGTTACGCCTGCTGACAGATATCCATCGGTATCCGAGATTTCAGGTCGAAATTTGGTCAAATAGATGCTGAGCTAATCGAAAGCTCGGCTCCAGGAATTTCACAAAGAAATGTTAACAACCTTACTCGATATCGAGTCGTACCCCCTGTACCAGAACCCCCGTCGAAATGTCATCTACAATAGGCAAGCGTTCGTCTCAGCGGCGAGGCTCTCCGGTCCCAGAAGCCCACGGCCCACATGTTTCTCAGGCGAGTAGCCTAGATAGGGTGCCAAGCAGAGCAAATTTTCATTACCAACACCAACGCCAAGAGAAGAACTTCAAATACGTACGGTAGCCGCTACAAGCGGCACGTAGCGAATGCAGAGGCTCCCGAGGCGGAGCATCCACTAATCACCGTTAAGGCTGACGATGACTGTGCCGCTGTGCATATGAAGACGATAAAAGGCACTCATGAATTTGCGACCACAGTCTTCCCTGCCAATCACTCGCTCTCACTGCACACCCCTCTCCCCGCTCTTTCATAATCCAAAGCTCGGGGTCTCTAGTCTGCTTCAGCAAACGTCAGTTCCTTTCAATTCGCATCAGATTCGACACGCAGCCTCAAAATGAACTCAACAACTCTTTGCCCGGACGCTTCCGGCATACCGGACTTCGTCAACATACACGGCATTCCAAGCAACATCAGCACCAGCTTTGTACCCATCGGTCGGAATGGGTCATACGTGGCCATGTCGGCGTGCTGTTCACCCAGTGCTGTTAACATCGCAAGCGACTGTTATTATTGGTGCGAGATACCGACCGAGGAGGCTCTCGACAGCTTTGGGTCGTGTTTGATTCGCAATGGTTTAGAAAGAGGGATTGTTGGGTTGCATGAGAGTGGTGCTGCTAGTTCGAAGACTAGACTTAATGCTGGAGGACTGGCGGTATGGGCACTGCTTGTCATCAGCGCGATTTGTCTGGGATGATGGGCGAACTGGGAGCTGTTTATCGGACTACGTCTAGGCTTTCATTTGAAGGGAACTAAGTAAATCTAGTTTTGTCTCACAGCAACTATGGTGAACAGGATGACGCTGAAGTTCGTTTAACTTAGTGGCCCTGGACTTCACTGGGCAGACCATGGCGGCAGACAAGCTGCAATACTTCAATCCACAGCCGATAGCATCTAATAATCTTTCGCTGTTTCACTAAGGCATTTGGCGCCTCTCTTTGAGCCAGGAACTTCATTTCGCCTATGTTTTCCTGAGGAGCATTGCGCTCTATTATTCTCGCTCAGTTCGTCTCGTGCGAAGTTTTCTCGTTATTTACATTCTTAGCCAGCACGATCTGACTTCCCTCAAGACGGACCGCTAGCTTGCGCGCAGTCCTCTCAAGCTCCTTTACAGGCCCAAGCCCGCCACCTGCAGCAGCCCGACATTCCTCGCCCAGAGCCACAAGGGTCGCTAAAGAAGAGCCTTTAACGTCGCAGAATCTCATTCCCCGGTGGTCGATTTGGTTGAACATCGTAAGAGAGAGAAATAGTGCCGCAAGTACAATTTCGGCGGCTAGTAGTGAGAGCGGGGCCCATGTTATCTCGACGTGAGGGACCATTCCCGTAGCCTCGCCAGTGACGTTGAACACAGCGTGCGTCAGGTTCAGAGCTCCGATTTGACTGCCGCGAAATCTGATGTTTGCGCTGAATGTCAGCTGAGTATCCGGAACGCATATTCTTCGAACTATTGACATGGAATAATG